AATCAGACCCCTCGGTCTATCAGTAAATCAGGGAACTCAGCCCAAACAGTTTTTATATTTTTAAGAAGTAAAGTGATAAAACCAGATTTAAATAATAAATATGTAAAACATGACTGAGGTTATGCTATTAAACAAATAGAGTGAGGAGAAATAGTAAATATGCCCGTAAGGGTCTCAACAGGTCGGCACAAGGCCCCAAACATGGCATACAACCCAAATTATAATATCAATCTCTAAAATATGGAATATCATAAGATTTAAAGTCAAATATGCGACTTAACAGTCGTACGGGACGGACCAAGTCACAATCCCCAACGGTACACGGCTCCACGCTCGTCATCTAACGTGCGTGTCACCGCAAAGTAGCACAACAATGTGAAATCCGGGGTTTCAAACCCTCAGGACAGTATTTTCAATCATTACTTACCTCGATCCGGTCCAAACTCTAGCCCGCGATGCCTTTGCCCTCATGAATCGACCTCCGGATACTCCAAATCTAGCCACAATCAGTACATAACTATTAAAATATGCTAAGAGAACAAAGCCCACTCGAAAATATCCGATTTAACATCAAAATCCCGAAATTGCCAAACCCGGCCCCCGGGCCCACGTCTCGAAATCCGATAAAATTAACATCGATGGGATCCTAATCCTCTCACGAGTTCATACATATCAAGAACATCAAAATCGGAGTTCGTTTGACCCCTCAAATCATCCCTAGAAGGTCTCATAATCTTATGCCCTAACTCCGCCTTTTTCTACTGATTTTCATGAATTAAACACTGATATTTTGTTCCTTAATCACAAATAATCGAGTTTTAGGGTCCAAAATCCTTACCTCAATGAAGAACAATGATTTCCTCTCTTCAAAATCGCCCAAAGCTTCAAAATTTTGTGTTAAAAGTGAGAAACCCTCTGAAAATTGCGAAGGAGGAATTAATATAATCTGACAAGACATTTCCACACCTGCGATCCCATAAGCGCACCAGCGCTTCCGCTTCTGCGGGTTTCACTAACTCCTTCAGATTCCGCATCTGCAACCCAGATACCGCACCTGCAGTGCAGCAGATGCAGTCAAAGTCTTCGCTTCTGCGGCCAGAACCGCTTTTGCGGTCTCCTTTACACACCAGCGGTCCCCAATCCGCAGGTGCGGAAACACCAGAAGCAGCAAAATTTACAACTTCTCAAAACCTCAAACTCTTCCGTCAACCATCCGAAATCACCCCGAGGCCCTAGGGACCTCAACCAAAAGTACAAACATATCCCGTATCCTTATTCAAACTTGTACCAATCTTCAAAACACCTCAAACAACGTCAAAATCACCAAAACTCGTCAAATTCAAGCCTAAGGTTCTAAATTTTTCCGCATTTCGCTTTTGATTAAAAACCCAACCAAATCACGTCCAAATGACCTGAAATTTTGCACACACATCCCAAATGACATAACGAAGCTACTGCAACTTCCGAAATTCCATTCCGACCCCTGTATCAAAATCTCACCTATAAACCGGAAAACGCCAAAAACTAACTTTCGCCAATTCAAGCCTAATTCTACACCGGACATCACAAAAATATTCCGGACACCCTCCTAAGTCCCAAATCACCTAACGAAGCTATCCGAGCCATAAAATCTGCATTTCGTGGTCGTTTACCAATAAGTCAAAACTTGGTCAAACCTTTAAATTTCAAGCTTCAAACTGAGAACTGTTCTTCCAAATTCATTCCGATTACCCTGAAATACAAAACCAACGATTCACATAAGTCATAATACATTACACGAGGCAAGTCACGCCCGAGAACGGGCGAGCAAAGTACAAAAGCTCAAAACGACCGGTCGGGTTGTTACATCCCCCCCCCCCCCACTTAAACATTCGTTCGTCCTCGAACGTGCCCAGAGTTGTTCCAAAAGCCAACCAATCGCCGAATAACCTTATCACGCATATACTCGGGGGTGATCCCACGTCACCCTATCTCATATAGGTCCGATAACACATTGTAACTGAAAATTCACAATCCAATCTAGCCCATGAACCATAGAACCACATTTTCACTTCTGAAATCATCAATACGATCAGAATCTCACATTTGTACTGTGAATAAGTTCGAACAAGCTTTAACAAACCATATCTGTAACCTCAGGTGCAAATTACATGATATATCACCTAACCCAAACACTGATAGCGATAACTTCTAATCACAGCAACGACTCACAACAACCGAATACCGATAGAAAACCTCTTATCAACTAAGGCCTCATTCCAACACGTTCATGCACTGCCAATGATAAATGAAACACGCAATAAACCATAACCATTTCTCAGATCAACCATTCATGAAGCCACTTCCCCTTTGGCAAGGACCATAGCACATTTCTGAGCCAAACCTCGATATTATCCTTCCAGCATGCTGAAATCGAATTAGTTGTACTCATTTCAGATCCCGACGATCTCATCTAATCCAACACCACTACTCTGGTGACATGACACATCAATACAATCTAAAGCCACAACTCGTGCAATCCGTGCACCGATAAACAACAATCTGAATGTACTCCAATCATGAAGACGACTCGAACGAAAGGGTTGTACCACCAACTCACCAGTATCCACCACAACAAAATGTTGAGAACCCATCACACGTCGTAGAAACAGAATACGCGAATCTAACCCGAAGGGTCATACCTCCACATAACTTCTCTACAATGCGCGACCCTATCCAAACACTGGTCCACATAAAACACCTCAAGTCACTATGCTCGAAATCGACAACCACGCGTAATTTGATGTCTGGAACCAAAGCAAATCATCATACCCACGGTGAAGCAAATAACATACACCACACAAGCCCAAACGGACATAACCGATACACCATTCCCCGAGCAACACCCAATCACTCTTCCCGCTCGAATTCCACCATGAAACCCCATAGAACCACACCCTATGTGCCTATAACCAACAAATCATAACGCCTCGCAACACAGAAAGGTAACTCATAGATCTCCCCAGATCACTAATAAGCTCAATAACAATCTAATCAACACATCCCTCACCAATAGCGACTCGAAGTCAACAAAGCCGTCTCGATGCAGAGCACGCATTCAAATAGGTCTACCAATGAACCACACATCAACTCTAGCCACACACAACAAATAAATAACCCTCCGAAGTTCACAATAACTGATTCATGGCGCATTCTATCATCTGACTATTTACCCACATCTTTGCCGTCCACAACCACGAGCTAACCTGTATATGAGAACTCCTAGTCTCCAACTCCATATAGCACACGCATCACCATATCCGATCCCAATTCCACCATCCGAGTATACAACACACCTCAAATACCCAATCATCCATGAGAGGTACTACTATAATTCTTCTGTGCCACCAAGCAAACTCGAATATCAATAGTCGATCCAACAAGAAAGTGCCACAATACTACCGAAGTACCATCAACTTAATCACATTGCCCTTTTTCTGAAACATATACTCTCATCAAATCACCCCAATTAGCAATACCATTTCCTTAATCATCTGAAGATCATTTCCCTAATCATCTGAAGCTCATTTCTCTATTTATCTGAAGCTG